GATACGCAGATATTCAAGCTGCCAGAAAATGGGAAAAAGTAAATTTTTATTATTTAAAATTTACATTTTAAATAATCAAAAATTTCTTACATTTCTTGTCTAGTACTGAATTTCAAGTAATACTGCTATCAGTACTAAGTTAAATTACCATAATCTATACACTATTAATTTAGTAAAAATCTAGTTCGAACTCAGTTTTATAATTTAAAAAATAGTTTTATTATTGCTTTATGTTCTTTAAATATTTCAGGATACAATAACGGTCACATTTTCATGCTTAAAAGCTGTAATGGCATTATGTGTTGCATTACTTGTTGATCAAAAACTACTAAGTTATGATGATTTGATTACTAAACACTGGCCTGATTTTGGTAACAATGGAAAAGCCAACATTACTGTACAGATGTTACTGTCACATACTGTGCGTACAAGATTACTTTTATTTAAATTGCAATCATTTTAAGTACTGCAAAAAAAATAATAATGAAAACACAGTTGTTTATATTTGATGAAATAAATACATGTATGCTTTAAATTGCTTTCAAATCCTCGTTATTTGTAATTTATTCTTGTTTTTACGCTTTGAAGTATTTTTTCTTTTTCATTCTAAGCAAAATTTATCCATAAATGAGTTTTACAGGCTGGATTACCTTATTTGGAAGAAAGAATTAGTTTAAACAATGCTACCAATTATATAAATATGAGGTATATAATAATAATTTAATAAATGAGTTAAAATATGATTACTATTTATTTTGAAAATTTAAAATGAAAATGGCATTTGAAAAAAGAAGTGACAATTTTTTCGATTATTGTAACAAATAAAGCTTTGTAGGAAAGTTTTTGAAGATGAAAAGCCTAAATGGTCTGCGGGCCAGAAGCTTGGCTATCACGCATATACCTTTTACTGGCTGGTTGATCAAATCGTTCGGCATGTTGACTTGCAAAAACGAGGCATTCGACAATTCTTTAACGAAGAAATAGCTATAAAATTTGGCATGTAACAAATTACATCACTTTTAAACTTCGAACTTTGAACTTGTTCCTGAATTTAACAGTAAGTTTGATCCTTTTCAGGAATTGATTACTGGATAGGTTTACCAGAAAATAAAAATTATCGAGTTGCCAGAATAAGAATGCCTTCTTGGTCAAACATTCTCAGTGAACTGTATCAAAGGCCGAGTTTGATCAAAACTATTCCATTTAATTTACTTTATAAAGTAATCCTTTTTAGTATTTTAAAACTATTATAAAGCTATGATATAAATTTTTTATCGATGTTGCATGTAATGTACTCTATGACAATGTATGAAAGTTTGTAAATTTTTCTTAGATTTTGTAATGTGCAATTTTTTAAATAAATTTAAAGATGAAATTTTTTCAATGACAGTGACTAGTTTGTAGGATTCATTAATTTACAAAGTAGCGAGCAGTTTGAAATGGTTGCATCCAACGAAACCTATGCAGGTGAATAATCGAAATTTTTACCGTTTACTGTGTTTTGGATTTGGTAATGCGCGAAGCTTAGCGAAAACATTTCATGTGGTTAGTCAATTTTATTGAATATAAATAATTACAAAGTGATAGACGAAATTTTTGCGTTACGTAATGAATAGTTTATAATCAGAAAATTTGAATAATTTTTATTAGACATTGTAAAAAAGGTAATTTTATTGTATAATTTTAATAGACACTATTATTAGACACTCTTAAACAATTGATTTTATCCTCAGATTGTATTACAGTTTGTATTATAAATCACAATGCAAAAATATTAGTTATTATTAATATTATTATTAATTAAATGTTTCAGTTTTGACTACTCAAATTTTAATTCACTTTTAAATCGTATCAATGAAAATGCTTGCTTAATAAATGATTTGAGTAATCAATTTATAAAGTTAATCACCAATATTATCAATTTTAATTAATATATTATAGTTATTAACTAAAAAAGTGGTCTCGACAGAAACTCAATTTCTTATTAGCAAAGTTATTGTAAACAGTACAGATAACTGTTTCATGGAACGTTTTGCAAGGGGTAATGGCTTTATGTATTTTGACATAAAACAACGTGAAGAGGTAAGATTAACTTCAGGAAGGACACTTTTTTAGAAGTAACCTCATGCTTCTTACATAAAAGATTCTGATTTGTATTGTAAACAATTAAATAATACTCATATATAAAGAACATGAAAATATAAAGATTTCATTTTAGATGTGGTATGCATATGGACATTCTGGTTTTGGTTGTCAGCAAGTTCTTCATGACTTTAGAAATGATCTCACAATTGCTTATGTTACAAATGCTATCAAAATTGGCACTTACAAAAATTGTCGCACTTATAGTCGCTTGCAAAATATTATTTATAAAGTAGTTAGAAAATACAATAAAAGTTATCCTTTGTAATATCAAAAATTTTGATAAAATACATTGATAGCAACGAGATTTTGACAAAAGTAGTAATAGCTATGAAGAATTATTTAAGTTATGTTAAGTGTAATAATACTTTTGAGGGAATAACAGTTACAACTTTTATAGCAAGCAAAAAAACAATTTTAATTTAAGTAAAAAGTGAACCATTTAGAAAAAATAATACTTCAAATTAAACCATAGCCATTAGCATGAACTGATGCCTAGTAAAAACGTGAACTTTCACCAACAAATTAAACTCTTCGCAGTTTTTATGCTTAAAAAATAATTTCTGACTTTGTGCTCTAAAAGGTAATTTCGACTAATTGTAAGTGTACTTGTAGTAGTAATAAATGTGATATGAGCGACATGCAATTATGCAATTTTAGAAATTTCATCTCAGTTATGTTTCACGTCAAATGCTTTTTACATTATCTAAAAATACATTTATTCCATTTTATATAGCATAAAAATAGAAAAGAAGCAATTTTCGATTTCATTTTTGCTTTCAAATTTGTTTGCATTGCTTGTTTTTTCAGCTGGTAACAGATCAAAATTTGCATATTAAAAGTTCTAGAAAAAACGAGTGGCATAACTAATTGAATGGCTGACTTTCCGTTGCTCATACTGATGCCTCCCAGAAGGCATTTTAAGAAATTTTGATCTAAACTTTGTATTACTGCAAAATAAAGCTTGTCATTGTGTTCACACTTGCTGCTTTCATACATACATTCGCCCTACTCTTGCCATTTGTGCTTTCAAAGCAATCATCAAATGAATGCACAAAGCAAACCAAATCGCTTCTTTACGTCTATTTCTAAGAATTAAATAGTTCGTTTATAATTTCTGAAGAATCATTCATTCATTTATTCATTTTTCAATGTTGTTGAAAAGAGCTATTTATTTATCTATCTATCTATCTATCTGTCTATCTACCTATCTACCTATCTAGCTAGTTAGCTAGTGAAATAGATTGATAGATAATGGCCCGTACCCATAAGCAGACAGCAAACTACTATGTGAGGCTATATATATATACACTTTTTTGAAGAAAATTCTTTTAGAAAAGAAAATTTTTTGAGCTACAAAGTCAGAAATTATTTTTTAAGCATAAAAACTGCGAAGAGTTAAATTTGTGAATATTTGAGAATACAAAAAAAATCAAAAATGATCAGTTTTAGAAATATTTTGTTTAGCAAATTAAAAGCAAAATTGTTTATTTTTCCCTTTAAGACAAAAAAGATATTCATTTCTGATTTGAATTTTATTTAAATATTTTCGAACAATTATTGAAAACTTTTTCTCGCGTAGTATTTCCGTTATACTAAGTTATTTTATCACTTGATTATGCATTCAGATTCTCGTCATTGTTATTATTTATCATAACTACCATAAATTATGTTTATTTGATTAGTATCACTGAAGATTCACATTCTGTTGTTGTTGTATGTCAATTAAGTTGCTATCACATTACAACTTATGTTATTCAGCAAATTCAATCATTCATTTCATAGCTTTTTTGCTATAATTTTAGTTCAGGATTAGAGCTAATTAGTGGAAATAAAACTTTGTTCGAATTCATTTCAATAATTGATATTGTTTCTGATGAACTTCATTTCATTTCAACCTTACTTTTTTAGATTTTGACAGTTTATCAATTTCTTCTTAAATACCAGCAATTTCAACGTCTTTACACTTTCACGAAAGAAGGAATTAATTATATAGCTGTTAAGTATTTATGTAAATCAATGTCAAAGGTTAAAATTATCATTATTATCTACTCACATTTATCCTTCCACAAATTATTTATGAATAAGAAAAATAGTTTTCTATAAATTTTCTGATTGTTGTACAAACACAATACTGCCATGAAAGTTTTGAATTTTTCCCTTAAAGTTTTATATAAAATTATTTTTCTTATTCCTAAAGCAGTAAACTTCTCTTCTGAGTGAAAATTCGAGATGATAACTAAAACAAAAGTATATCAAAATTTCTAATAGATTTGGAATTAAATTAAAGAAAATTTGAAAAACTAAGTTTGAGTTTCACTGAGTTTGAGGTATTTTTAGAGGAATAAATTCAATTTTTCAAGGCAATATTCCTACTTTATGAATGTTTGAAATATTTTGTATCAAACGAAATTAAAGGGAAGTTAACTAAAGAAAGTGCATAACAAAGCATTTTGGAATTTGGCACATACAAAAACATACATTTTTTAATAAACTGCGAGACTAAGCAAGAAAATTTTGGACAGAAAGATCTTAATTAATCCCACTGTAATTGGTCTAAAGTATGGTATTTATTCAAAATTTATAATTTGATTTTTAATTAGTCTAATTTGTTTTATTTTCAAACTGATTTTCAAAAACAGTAGGGGCACTTTAGTATTTAATAAAAATTAAAATATTAACTTGTTCAAAAATCAAATTATTAAAATGAAAAGATATAAAAATGTATGAGTAATGCGCAAATCATCACAGTTGGAAATTTGAAATATAAAAGCAAAATTATCTTTTTAGTTAAAAGGTACAAAGTATTTGTGAATACGAAAAAACGAAAATGAATATTTATTTGCTGTGAACTAATTTGCAAATTAATTTTTGTAATTACTATTATTATCTTTTTTGCGTGAAGTGCATTTTTTTATGATAACTCATTCATAACTCCTTGAATTCAAATCAACTCCAATAATTTTTTGATTTAAAACGGAACACTTTGAATGTAAATTTTAGTTTAGATTACTCTATTATAATAACATTTCTACTACAAAGTAATCTAAACTAAAACTTATAACTAATGAATTTTTTTCACATGTAATTTATATATGATGTACTGAATTCAGTGGTATCAGCGACAAAGAATAAGGCAAAATAAGGTAACGCTTAATAGTTTTGTTAATCTGAAGATCAGAAAAAGTGCTTTGAGCAAAAAGTTTAGCTTACAGAATTATTAGAAACTTTTTTTGTGATGTTTTTTAAAAATGTTTTTTTAAGTATAGAAGCTAACATTTTTAATTGAATAAGCAACAAAGTGATGGCCATTAAAACTTGCAAGAATCCGATCTATCTCATCGTTTTCAATATTTGCTTGCCTTAGAACGTTTCGCCAACGCTTACTGATCGCAGAAGTGTTAAAGAAAAACGCATAACACATTAATTTCGAAAAAATCTGGAAAGTTTTGGGAAATATAATCTGTCATTTTATTGCAAGTCGTAGAATGTGCTTATTCTTCAGTCTTTCAGCCATTTTTTGGCTCATTATTACTTGCTTGGCCGTATGTCGAATATTCGACAATAAATGTGATTGCTTTCAATGTTTATTTAGTCTTTTATACTTTCATCTGAAAATATATCTGAGCAACTTTCAGTTCTAGTGATTGTTGCAAAGAAATAATTTCATTTGAACAATTAGTAATAATTATCTAACTGAATCTTTGTCCAATATATACTCTAATAATATGCATTTCTGCTTAATTTGACCGTTTTAGAAAAAGCCAAGATAGTTTAGAGCTTTAATTTTGTAATTAATAAATTATTGAGATCAATAACTATGTAAATGTTAAGTTCATTTTTCACAGAACTTTTCTCGTTCACAAGTTTATATTTCAACTTCAGAAAGATTCTTTTAAAAAGCGAGTTAATTTTACATTTATTTTTTCAAGAAAAGATTTTGGGTAGTATGACACTGTTGATCAAAACTGCAATGAAAAACAGATCAAGTCTCGATAGAAGAGTGACCTTTTTGGAGGTCAATTTTCTCACTGTTAATTACTTATTGTTATTCGACAAAAGCAAAAGTATTATTATTGTTACATCTGATGGAAAAAATATTATTATTGTTACTTCTGGCCATTGTACATTTTTCCAATGAGATTGTTATTTATTGCACCAAATTATTCAACCTCAGCCTAAAAGTAAAACTGATAATGCTGTTTTATTGCTACTTATTTATTTTTTGATATTAATGTGCTTTTTTGATGCACAAGCGTTTACTTACTGAAATTGTTTTAAGAGCTCATGCATAATTAAAAAACTTGCTAATTTACAATATATCAAAATTGTATAATAATAACTATTATAATCTTTCTAAAAATATCAATGGATGTGCCATAATTCTAGTTGATGAATTAAAAACAAATCGAAACTCATTTGGAAGTTTAGTTTACTATCATTTAATAATGTCATAATTCAAATTCGTAACAAGAAGTCAGAAATTTTAATTGTCATTAAAGTATTGTTGCAATATGCTAAAGGCTTATTTAGAAGCAAACTGAAGTGATCGTTTGAGATTCTCAAAAGTAATAAGATATTTGGATTGATTTTTATAATTTGCAAAATCTGTCTATTGTTTGTTCTGCAAATAAGTCAATAGACTGCAGATTTTAATTTTTTATCATAAAATTTGTTGATTTAATGATTTAAACATTACTGATTAAGGATAAAATTAATGCCAAATATAACTGCTAGTTCAGTGATTTTTTGAACTTTATTTCTTCGGTCCATTAACTTTTTTCGAACTAAAATTTTATAAAAGTGGAATCTCACCTCAACTACATTAACCTTAGTAAAATCACTGTGTATAAAATATTATAATCTTATACTGTCTAATTTTTTCAACCGGAAAATTTACAAATATATTCTGCTCATTCTAAAATATGAATATTAATCAGTGAAAAATCATAATCCAACCAAAAGAGAATTAGTATATAACACAGCTATTTCACAATGACAAAAACTGAATTTTAAATTTTTATAAACTGAAAATTTTGGTGAATAAAATTATTTGGCGTATTCATTAATTTGGATTTTATTTAATTTTTCAAAGTTTATTCAACTTCGAATCTAATGAAACTTGCAGTAATCTCTTTTTTGTTCAGTAACTTTTTTGGTAAAAAGTATTTCACGTTTGCTTTTGAGAATTATTCTGTAACTGTTACTGTAATTTTGAATGTTTTATTTTGAAAATTTGATTAGTTTGTTTTACGAAAATTTCATTAA